CAATATGTAAATCAATGGAAGTGTAACTGATGTGATTCTGCAAGCTGTATACGGGGTAAAATGGGAGTTTATAACCCACTTGAATCAAAATGTGAAATATGATATATCAAGAACTATGTAATGTTTTGAATAACCAACAATAAAAAAAAAGAAAAAATAAAGAAAGAAAGAAAGAAATATGGGAAAGCTATTATTTATCACCAGTGCTTGCAAAGCAGGGGAAGACTCAGAGTGGAACACCATGAATGTAAGCAATGTGTCTCAGTCCCCTTCTAGTACATGAAAGGATTGACACCAGAGAGAAACCACATATATGCACACCATGTGGTATAGCCTTCACTAATCACAGCACTCTTCAATACCGTGAAAGGGTTCACAGTGGCAGAAAACCCCATGGATGTCAGCAATGTGGGAGACTCTTTAGTTGTTTTACTAGTTTGGGAAGACATGAGCAAAATCACAATGGAAATAAACCCTGTGGATGTAAGCAATGTGAAAAAGTCGTCTTTTCTTTGAGTCACTTGCAAAGACATGAAGGAACTCACAATGGACAGAAACCTTATGTGTATATGAGCAATGCTGGAAAGCCTTTCATTTTCCCTGTTCCCTCAGAAAACATTGAAGAACTCACATTGGAGAGATACCCTATGTATGTATGGATTGTAGGAAAGACTTCAGTGGCTCTTTTTTTTTTAAAGAGAGAAAGAAAGACTTTTTTAATATTTATTTTTTATTTTTTTGGTGGACACGACATCTTTTTTTTTTAATGTGGTGCTGAGGATGGAACCCAGTGACCCGCGCATGCCAGGCAAGCGTGCTACCGCTTGAGCCACATCCCCAGCCCTTCAGTGACTCTTTTATAGACATAATATAATTCACACTGGACAGAAGCCCTATATATGTGAACAATGTGGAAAATCACTGGGTTGTCTCAGTTTCCTTAAATTACATGAATCAGTTCACACTGGAGAGAAACCCTATGTATGTAAGCAGTATGGTAAAGCCTTTAGTTGTTCTAGTTCCTTTTGAACCCATGGAAGAATTCACAATGGAAAAAAAACATATGAATGTATGCATGGTGGCAAAGTCTTTAGTTATTCTTTTTCCCTTAAATATCATGAAAAAACAATCACTAGGGAGAAACCCTCTATATTCAAAGAGTTTAGAAGAGCCTTTAACTCTTTCTGTTACCTTAAAATATATTAAGGGATACACAATGGAGAGAAATGCTATATATATATATATATGGAATGTGGAAAAGCTTTCAGTCAAACCAGGAATATCATCACACATCAAAGGACTCACCCTGGAGAGAAACCCTATGTGTGTAAAGATTGTGAGAAAGCCTTCAGTGAATCTAGTTCCTGTCACAGACATAAAAGAATTCACACTGAAGAGAAACCCTATGTATGTGAACAATGTGGAAAAGCATTCACCTGTTTCAGTTCCCTTAAATTACATGAAAGAACTCAGACTGGAGAGAAACCCTACGTATGTCAGCAATATGGAAAATCCTTTGGTTATTCTGGTTCCTTTTGAGACCATGCAAAAATTCACAGTTTAATAAAACCCTATGTCTATAAACAGTGTGAGAGAGCCTCTAGTTCCTTTCAAAAACAAAAGAACTCACACTGGAAAGAAGCCCTATATGTATGTGATGTGAGAAAGCCTTTAGTTCTTCCTTTTCCCTTCAAAATCATGAAAGAATTCACAGTAGAGAGAAACCCTATTATGCAAGGAGTATAGAAAAGCCTTTAGTTCTTCCCATTGCATTAAAAATTGAAAGAACTCATACTGGAGAGAAACCTTATAAATGCACATAGCATGGAAAAGCATTTAGTTGGTCCAGTCATGTTCTCAGACATCAAAGAACTCACACTGGAAAAAAACCCTATGTTTGTAAGCAATGTGGAAAAGCCTTTATTTCTTCCAGATATATTAGAATACATGAAAAAACCCACAAATCCCATGTATATAAACAATGTGGGAAGGCATTCAATCCTACTATGTTCTCATAGATGAAAGAACTCATGGGAAAGTAATCCTGACCAAAGACTGTGGTAAGACTTCTTTCTATCAAACATGAACAGTGAAGATAACTCATATTAATGTAAAGTATGTGAGGATGCCTGCAGTCACTTTGTCCAGCAAATACGTATAAATGAATGTAGTATGGAAAGAAACAGGGAATAGAAGAGATATGCAAAAGCCTTCAGTTGACCCATGTATAAGTATTTGCACCTAACAAAAAGTCTGTGAATGTGAAAAGTACAAGAAAGTTGTCATTAAAAAAAATACATAAATAAACAATTATGTGTAAGTTTGTATATAAACATAAGTTTTCCTTTCTCTGAGATAAATGCCCATGGCTCAAGAGTGCAATTGCTGGGATACATGTTAGTTACATGTTTATTTTTTTTAAAAAATGCCAAAATGTTTTCCTGAGGAGCTATGTCATTTTGTACCCCACTAAGTATTGTATGAATTACCCTGTTCCCTCACATCCTAGCCAATCTAAGAAGAGTATAGTGATAATTCATTGTGGTTTTAATTTGCATTTTCCTAATAATGATACTGAACATTTTTGTGTTCTCATCTGCCATCTGAATATCTTCTTTTATAATTGTTTATTTTTATTATTGTTTTGAGCATTCTTCATATTCTAGATACTAGTCTTTTGTCAAGCTCCTTCAGGTCTGTTTTACCCCCATCATTCCACTGAAACTGCTCTTCCTGAGGCTACCATTGACTTTTGAACTTACAAATCTAAACTATTATGACTTACTAGATGTTACCTTATTTTCCCTGTGAGCCCTTAGACCATCTCCTTCTTGAATCTTTTTCCCCTTGATTGATGTCTGTAATGGTTTATATACTCATGATATTCCTATTTTTTTGACATCTACCCTATAATCTCATTCACCATTTCTGTTTCCTCATGTATTATTAAATATTGCCATTTCCCAAGATTTAGCCCCAGCTGTCTTGTCTGTTTTCTAGTCTTAAGACTTTCCCTAATTGACTAAATTCACTTCCCTGGCTTAAGCCACCATCTGTGTGCTGGGGCTCCAAATTTGTATTTCTAGACCAAACATCTTCTCTTGTTCACAGATTTATAGTTCTTACTACATGTTAGATAATCCATCTTATACTCAGCAATTTAAAATATGAGCTCACTATCTCCCTGCAAGCCAAAATGCGTTTTCATTCCTGGACCTCCCATTCTAATTAATGATATCACCATTTACTCAGCTGACAAATCTTAGAAAGTAGAGCTTTATTCAATTTTTTTTCTCTTTCACTGCCTCATCCTTTTTGTCAGTTCTTCTTCTTCAGTGCTTCTTAATCTCTTTCCTCATCTTTAGTCCTTTTGCTACACTTGGTTCATGGTCATGTCATTTATTACCTTGATTATTGCCATAACCTTCTTGCTGATGTTTCTTCCTGCTATTCATCCTCCAGACTACAGTCATGGTGAGCTTTGTAATGCTTAAATCTCACCATATGACTTCCCAGTTTAAGTCCTTCAGTGAGTCCCCATGTCCTACCTTAGGGCCAGACATGTTATTCTTTAAAGACACCCTCAACACCGGAGGAGATAAACTTTTGCCCTATGTGGAAGTCTTTACAGGAGCTACAAGCACAACATTTCTGCAAAGTTTCTGTATTTTAGTTTAAAAATTTATAATTTTTATTTTCTTCATTTATATCACTATTCATATTTTCATATTAAGATAAAAGTAATGGGGCTGGGATTGTAGCTCAGTGGCAGAGCACTTGCCTCACACATATCAGGCACTGGTCAGCCCCACATAAAAATGAAATAAAGGTATTGTGTTCATTGACAACTAAAAAATATTTTTAAAAAAGATAAAAAGTTATGAATTTCCCAAAAAATCATCAAGTAAAATTCATGTTTCAGAAGATAACGTGTATTCTCCAAGCTCTTATTGGAGTATTATTGCCACTTATTGCAGTTTGAGAACAAGGGACCTATAGTTAAAGTAAAAACCATTTTCTACTAAAATTTTCTCAGATTGGGTTTCATTTTATTCCAGTATCACCACATGCACTGCAACCTCTACCATACCAAATCTCATAGTTTGTCAGGCAGACCAGGTTTTTTCTGCTTTTGCATATGTACCCTTCTTTGTTTTTTAATATTTTTCTTTTTTTATTTGTTTTAATTAGTTACACATGACAGTACAATGATCTTGAAATATCATATATTTGAATCAAATGGGATATAATTTCTCATTTTTCTGACTATACAGGTTGCAGAATCACATTGGTCATGCAATCACATATATATCACAGCAATAATAATGTCTATTTTAATATTTTTCTTTAGTTGTAGATGGACAACAATGTCTTTACTTCATTTATTTATCTATTTAATGTGGTGCCTCATGCATGAGAGGCAAGTGCTCAACCACTGAGCTATAACCCCAGCTTCTTGATGAAGACTTTTTCTCTGCTTAGAGAGCTCTAACTCAGTCTTTTGTTTTTAGAGTCATTTACTATGCTGATCTCTTTGTGATAACATCCCCACTTTCTTGCTCCTGGGACATCTCCAATAACCCACTTACTTCTATAGAATAATGCCTTCCCTTCTAGCTTGTGCAATTACAAGGACAAGATCATATTTTATTCTCCCTTAGAATAGTGTCTGGAATTCAATAACTGGATTGTATGAAAAGGTCAATTCTAAACTCAAATGAAAGTGATGACCTCTAAAAGCATGTGACTAGCCAGTGCCTAACATATTTCAGAGCTGTTGTAGAAGAATTCTTACTTGGGTGGCAAGTTAGTGCCTAAATATTTGTTATGGTATCATTCAACCCCTAAATTTTATTATTTTAATAGTGAAATAGAAGAGCTGAAAACATTTCATCTCCATTAACACTTTGTTTTTAAACTGAACACATACCTTGAAAATACCTTGATCACTTAACCATTTGAAATTTTTCTTATCTTTATCAATGCCAGATAAACTTCAATTTCAGAATAGTAAATAACAATCTATTTCAATTCATGATAGTTCCTAATAGTCTGTTAATAATAATGTAATGGGCAGGGAATGGAGTTGTGGCTCAGTGGTAGAGCACTTGCCTTGCACGTGAGGCACTGAGTTCGATCCTCAGCACCACATAAAAATAAATAAAATAAAGATACTGTGTCCATCTAAAACCAAAAAAATTAAATTAAATAAATAAATAATGTAATGGGCATACATGTGTCCAACTTTGAAATAATATTCTGTAACTTTTACAATTTTTATCTAAAGTATTGATAATACTTTGGAATTTGCTAAACTTTTGTCTTTGCATTCCAGCTTCCTTACGCTCAGAACTAAATCATCAACATGCAGCTGCAATTGATTTGTTACGGCATAATCATCATCAAGAATTGGCAGCTGCTAAAATGGAATTAGAGAGAAGCATAGACATCAGCAGAAGACAGGTAAGTGAAAATATTCTGTTCAGAAATGATTTCTGAAATATGAGTAAACCGAATTTTCACAATTTTTTGAAAATTATTTTGCAACCAACATCATTTTCACTAGTTACAGTTTACTATGTGTTGAATAGTTTTGTTTTTCAAGGGAAGTAAATGATTCTATTCTATTCAGCATACTGATCACAAAATTATATTTTATTTTTTTTAACTTTAATTGAATTTTTTGAATTTTATTCACATGTTTGGAAAGTGAACAATGAAATATAATCTGAAGAGTGAGGATAATACTACCCTGAAGAACTAACTATCCATGGTGGTGTGTACTATTTGTGTGTGTGTGTGTTGTCATTGTAGCAGTCAGTAGTCATTGAGGCTAAATATGTCTTGTGCAACCAAGAAACTACATTTTCAGTTTTATTTAATTTTAATTAATTTAAACTTGACCTTAAACACGTACATTAGATAGCATAGCTATAGAAGGAGTAGTTGCTCAAGGAGAAAAAGAACAATTTATATTTCTATGGCTTTCTAGCAGAGCTACTGTTTATACTTGTAAAAACTGTTTACTGACCCAGTGTACTTTCCTTTAATTAGGTAGTTTGTGAACTTGAATGTATACATCTGGATGGATGGATTTTTAGGCACCATGCAATAAAAGCTGTTTTTTATTAGTTTATTAGACTTATAATTTTTACTTTGTCAGTTTTCACCTGTATTAAATGTTCAGACCAAATTTTTTTTTCATTGCTAGGGAGTTTTACATGCACACTTTATATTAACCATGGAGGTAGATTATATTCTTTCAATTGTCACTGAAATTGACAGTATCTAGGCTTACAGTACTTATAGAAAACAGTGACTTTTAAGAAAATGGAAGGTAACTTATTTATCAGATAACTACGAGACTAGCACCAAAGGGGCAAAGTATGATTTAAACACCATGAGATACATGCATGAGTTGGAGGACTTCTACAGATGTAGATCCTTTTTAGATTAAAGGACAATCATACCAACATTTTACTGCAAGACCATATAAAGCTTACTAAGTAAGAGACTTGTACTCTATTCTCAACTCTGCCATTGATTACAAATTACCTTTGGCCAAATTATCTCTTAGGTATTGGTGTCCTTATTTATAAAAAGAGAGAGCTATGCGTTTGTGATCTTTTGCGTCTCTTGCAGCCCTGATTTTATTGAAATTGTAACCATAGAAGTATTTCTTAGATATAAGGAAAGAGAAGGAGGGATTGATGTTTTTTCTTTTTAACAGTTTGCTTTTGAAGTATAAGAGAATGATTACATTTAGCATGCTAGGATGTCATTTTCCTTCCTTCCTTTAAACACAGAAAGCCAATATGTAAAAAAACTTTTCAGAATTATTTGTGTTTTACAGAATAAGGAGCACATGTGTAGAATAACAGATCTGCAGGAGGAATTACGACACAGAGAGCATCACATCTCTGACTTGGATAAGGAGGTACAGCACCTTCATGAGAACATAACTGCCCTCACCAAAGAATTGGAATTTAAGGGGAAAGAAATCCTCAGAATACGAAGTGAATCTAACCAACAGATGAGGTATGCTGATAATTACAACAGAAGGAATATATAGTATTATCTGAAGGATGGTTGCAGTGATATTTAGAAATATGTGCCTATTTTTGCAGCTACGTGGACTTTTAGTAAGATACTGAAAACCACTTTTTCTTTATTTGATGACTATGTTATAACCCAGAATACAGATGAAATGTTTGTATTTTGAATTATATATATTATGTATTCACTAACTTTGGAAATTGTGTACATAATTAACTAAAGTCTTTTAAAAATGTTATTAGTAAAAGCATTAAAGGAGACAACTTTAACATGAGGTAGAAGATTAGTCACTTAAATTAGGCTGTTTATGTTACGTTTTCATATATTTTCCAAAAAAAATTCAACTCTGGTAGAATATAGAAAGTATTGAAAGCTCGACTTCAGAATAACATTTTCTTAACTAAAAATAAATTAAACAGGTTGCATGAACAAGATTTAAACAAGAGACTTGAAAAAGAGCTGGATGTCATGACAGCAGACCATCTCAGAGAGAAAAATATCATGCGGGCAGATTTTAATAAGACTAACGAACTACTCAAGGAAATAAATGCAGCTTTACAAGTGTCGTAAGTCATATTATGTTAAAGAAAATTCATGTTTAGATAATAAACTGAGGAACATTGTTTCTAAGCTCTGATTAGCTACTCTTTTGAATCTAATAAAATGATACTTAAAAAAAGGAAGAATAAGATGGTAATTGTAGTGTGATATGTTCTTTCATTAGGATAAGGCAGTTAAATGATTATGTTTCATCAGCTGCTATTGCTACATTTCTTCCAAGACAATACTTACTATAAGAATGTCCCTCACAGGACACTGATATTATGGCAACAACTCAAAATATACTCATTATGTATGTTAAGTAAAAACACCATATTATGATCAATAGGAATGTCATAATCCTATGCACACAATAAGAATACATATCTTATAAAAATAAAAATATCCTAAAAAACAAATACAAACTTTGGGGAGTAGAATAGGAGGTATTAAGGATAGGAAAAACTTTTTCTTTTAAATAATCCTCTAGGTATTGCTAGAATTTCTACAACTAGCATTTAATTGTTCTACAATTTTAAAAATCCGTAATGGAAAATCATTACTAATGACATTACTACTGATAACATGGTAAATCCAGTGTTGTTAAAATCAAAATTTCTAAACATTACTTAGTATTCCTTAAAAAATATTTTTAACCACTTCTAGATACTTATAAACTGGGCTAGTCAAGGCAACTTGTATTCAGTTCATCTTTGTGACCTAAAGGCTGGTCCACTTTAGGTTATTTTAAAATTAACTAACTCTAAAATCCCTCTAATGGCTTATTCACCTTATGTCTCTCCTCTTTCAATTTTTAAAAGTTCATACACCTATATTTCACATTAATAAAATCATAATTAGTAACTAATCCCATTACCCTTAGAGTCGAAATCAAACTTGAACTTAGTTCCAATAGATCTTATTCCACATCATCAAATAACATCTCTAAGCTTCCTGGTGACCATGTCCTGAGCTACTTTCCTCCCTCACATGCTTCTGCCATGATATGCTGCCTCATCTCAGGCCAAAGCAATGGAGTTGGCTGACTCTGGACTGAGGCCTCTGAAATTTGCCGGGAACTGATGCTTTGCAGTGCTGGGGGGCCTTTGTGTCCACTAGGCAAGTGCAGTACACTAAGCTGTGCCTTCAGCCCTGGGTCAATTTTTTCTTCACACTTGCATACAGGAACTCCCAATAATGGGAAACTCATGGAACAGCCCAAAGTAAAGGATTACATTATCAATTCAACAAAAAGGGGTGGTTTAGGGCTTCAATGGGAAAATACGGAAGATTCCTTTTGTAAGGTCTTCGCTTAGCAACTAGATGGCCATCTTAAATGACAGCCGCCATTTTAAGAAAACTTTTGCTTTCCTGCCCAAGGGCCTTTCTGGGAAAGGCTCACCACTCCCTTTTACCAACCCAACCCTTCACGCCTGCGGTTCTTTCCCACCCTAAGGCATATCACCACTCCCTCATACCAACCTCACCCTTAACTGCCTGCTTTAGGATCCCCCTGTCTCTAATCCCTGAACCTGCCCCATAAAGTTCCCAAACCTCAAGCCCCTATTGCCTCTCTCTGGAGAGATGTGCCTTTATCTGTCAACTCTGACAAATAAACTCTCATGTGTATCTCTGAAAAATAATAATAACAGCTCTATGTCCTGTCTGCTGTCTTTTGTATCAGCCAAGCCAACCTTCTCAGTTTCCTTCTAAGAGTCTCCTGTGTTGTCCTCTAAAGTCTGGAATAACCACCTATATTCTTACTATCTGATTACCTTCCTCAAAGATAAAATGTCTTCTCCTGTTTCATCCATGTCAGCAATTCAGTCAATATTGTTACTTACATTAGTGCAAGCGCGCTCACACACACGTGCACGTTTGTTCTCTCTCTCTCTCTCTCTCTCTCTCTCTCTCTCTCTCTCTCTCTCTCTCTTTGAAAAGACAGACCCCTGGTCATTGGCATTTACTTGCATGTCCTCTGAGGTGAGGTGTTCTAGGCACTCAGTGAATGGTCATGAATAAATTTTATGAAGATTCCCCATCATATTGAAGTTTTTGAAGGTTCACTTTTTGAAGTTTCCCTTGAAATCATGAGAGACTTAGGTTATTATTTCTTTGATCACAGTAATTTTGATGATTGCTGTTGTTACAATTTTTAAAGCCTTTTGAGCCACAGTAAAAGCTCATATATCTGCCTTGAAGAAGAGGTTGTAACCCCATGCATTCCACAGAAATGAGAAGCAATAAACCTCTATGGTGTCACTATTGCTGTTTCTAGCCTCATTTTGTTTATGGGCAGAGACTGAAATCTTGCCATCCCCTTATTCCTACTCTAAAAAAAAAAAAAAAAAAACATGCTTACAAAAATAAAACACTTTTGTCTGTCTATGTGTCCTATCCCCTTGAGAAGGTTAATTTATAAGAAGTAAAGTTTGTGTCAAATGAATATTGAACACTTGAGCTTCAGCCAATATAACAGAAACTGAATTTTTAATTTCATTTTAATTAATTTGAATGTAAATAGCTTCATATCAACTAGTGACTACTATATTAGCACAGTTTTAAAGTTTTGGACACTTCTGGCCACATTCTTAAATGCAGTCCTCTTGGATCTGCTGAGTAGTTTGTAGTTGGATAGTGAGCAGAGACAGTCCTTCCTAGTTTGTGGAGCTGGAGAAAGAAGATCCGAACCATTCCCAGCCTGTTCCAAAGGACTAGGGTCACCTTTTGAAGTTCCTAATTAATTGCCATGGTTTTAAAACTTCAAAATCAGGAAAACCCATGGATTCTTTTTTTTTTGAATTTTTTAATATTTATTTTTTAGTTTTTGGCAGACACAACATCTTTGTTTGTATGTGGTGCTGAGGATTGAACCCCGAGCACGCTACAGCTTGAGCCACATCCCCAGCCCCAACCCATGGATTCTTAGAAGGTGTTGGTGAAGGGCTCAAAGCAATGTGGGTCAATCTTTTAGGCCAAAGCATGGAGCTAAGGAAACTCTGAAGCAGCTGTAAGTTGCTTCCTCCTGCTGCTGCCCCAGCTCCTGCTGGACTCCAGGGAAGAATGGGTTGTCTCTTATGGAATTATTATTGGAAATCTTCTATAATGTTGGGTATTAAAGTCCTTTTAGATTTTCGGACAGTTTTATAAAAATTTTATTTTCTTTAGTATATTGTATTTATTTAATAAGAACCTTGTATATAATTAAAATGTCTTGTTTTTTGTTTTAATGAGAGAACAGGCTATTCAATTTTACCTAAATGATGTATTATGGCAGATCTTTATTGTGCAAAAAAACCAAATGGATTCGAGATTATTCCTGATTGTTTAGGTTTACTTTACATTCACTTGTTACTGTACTTAACAACAACAAAAAAAATCATTTCCTTATGAAAGAAATGTTGAATCTGTACTTGGACTTTAAATAGGTCAGTAATTGCTAATTAAAATAAAACACTCTACCATACCATAATTGATTATTATTTAAAAGTTTAGCTCCTTTTATCTATGATACCACAACAATTTTGTTTGATTTTTAATTTATTATTCAGGTGGTTTTCATGAGTTTGTGGGAAGTGAGGAAGTAGTATTCTAGTCCTGTTGTTGCAAATCAGAGTCTTTGTTCTGAGTTTTATGGAAAAGTTCATTATTAAAATGCTTAAGTCCTATATTTTCTTTACTTGGCATAATAGATTTCTTTCATCTCTATAAACTTAAATTCTAGAATACATGCGTGCCTCCTAATATTGTTGTTTAGCTCTAAAGTCTTAATTCACTGCTTTTTTTTTTAAACAAAACATCTGTTTTTTACAAAACATAATGGGGGGACTATTTCTGGTGAAATTTTTGTACAAGTTTTTAGGCATTCAGATCATATGCCTTTTTTGTTCATTGACTGTACACATTGACCTACATATTCCCAAGACAAAAAAAAAAAAAAAATCAGGGCATGTATGCCTGTTGAGAATCCAACAGTGACCCTTAATTAGTAATTTTATGTGTTCTACTTCTCCTTTCTATTCTGTCTTTGTGTTACTTTTAATGAGAATCTGTAATTTAAATAGAAGGTTGTGTGTACTTGTATGGTTCCCTCAAGGAAATGTTTTCCAGGCTTTAATCATTCTTTTTTTTTTTTTAAGCAGGAAGAGAGAGAGAGAGAGAGAATTTTTTAATATTTATTTTTCAGTTTTCGGTAGACACAGCATCTTTATTTTTTATTTTATGTGGTGCTGAGGATCGAACCCAGTGCCTAGCGCCTGCCAGGCGAGCGTGTTACTGCTTGAGCCACATCCCCAGCTCCAAGCTTTAATCATTCTTCTACAACCTTTAGGCATTTGGTCCTTTCTGGCTACCTATACTATTATTTTTTAATACTTTTAAGTTATTCATTTTGACTTAAAAATTTAACAGGATAATATTTGATATTCCTGTGGTAGCACTATAGTAAAACTATAATCACTATTGAAAACAATCTTACCCATTCTCTAAGTAGGAGTTAAGCTCTAATTGTGCATATGTAAATTCTGTGAAAATAAAATAGTTCTATTCTAGCTAGCCTTAATGCTCAGGGTCTGCCTGAGTGTTGTAAAATTGAGTAAAAGCATATGTTAGAAGACCAGTTATGATATATAGAACCAAACAGGCACTCTCCTTCATGTGATCAAAAAGATTAAAGAACAAACAAAGAATCATTTCATAACCAGTCAAATCAGTCATAGCTGGTCTTGGAGAAGCCATGCTGGTTTAGAGAGCTTCCTGGATACCTGAAACAAGGGAAAATGTTGATTAGGGTTGGCTTGAAGTACATACCATAAGAGAACCAAGATTTCTCTCCATTTGAATATTGAAAAAAATAATTCTAGAGGTATATCTGCAAGTTAAATCTGTATCCTATTACTCGTTCTCTCCTTTAATGCTTTCCCTTTTATATTTATATAGCTTTTTTTCTGATCCATCATTTTTTCTCTTTAATATCCAGGTACCTTTTTTATTAAAATGTTTTGGAAATGTAAAGATAGTTTATGGAGGGGATTAACTGTGATAATTCTGTAGGTAATGAATGTTTATGCTTAATAAGAAGATGCACTAGAATGTGGGTTCAGCACAGACCTTTATTATGCAGTAAAGGAGGTTCAGAGGTTTCAACTGATTTATACTCACTTTACCTTAACTTCTCATTGCACTAGAAATAATAGTTTTAAATAATAAATAATGGAACTAAAAAGAAATAATAGTTTTAAATAAGGCTGTCAATTTAGCTTTTTAACTACCGTTTATATCAAATATTCTTATTCAGTACAGGAAGCAGCTCACAAGTCTTGTACTTTGCTTGTAGTGAATAAAATAAAGTACTCCAGTGACATCTTGTGGCTACTCCAGCACAAAGCCCAAATGTCATTTCCTTGAAGAGATAGTATTTCTTAACCTTCCTAAAATCATTGCCCATAAAATACATAAGAGTAAACTTTTCCATATCATGATGTAATGGAGGGCCACTCTCGAGCTCAGAGAATCACATTAGTTTTCTCTTAGTCTGCATTGTCCCAAAAGAGCAAAAGTATAGATAATAAAAGATCCTTAGGTGGTTATTTTCTAACCCCATGTTCCTAGTCACCCTTAGCCCTCCACACATGTAGAGCTTCAGTCAAGGCAAGGTAGGTAGCCAAATGTGTTATCTTCAAATCTTTAGCTTAGACTGAGTTGAGGAGGGCTTTTATTCCTAGTACCCTTCTGGAATTTGAGAACAGTGATGCAGGGATAGATCACTGGTTTCTAGATAATCATTTAGAAGTCACTCAATATTTGTTGAGTGAATAAATTTTTCTATGAATCTTCATTACCCATGACTTAAGCTTAAATTCTGTCCTTTATATTCTGAAAACAATAAAAATGTTTAATAATTCTAATTATTTATATTTTCTAAAGCTGAAAGTGCTTTTTTCTTTCAAACTAAGCCAGAAGTTTCCATTTGCATTCATTTTAATCTGCCCTGTCCTATATTCTCAGACCTCTGATTTATTCTTCAGTGGCATTCAGTCTTATTGCTGTCTCTTACCATTCAGGGAAAAAAAATAGGCCTACAAAGAAAGAAGATTCTTCTTTTACTTGAAGAACCTTTTTTTCCCAGTGTTATTTGTATTGGCTGATATAGAATTTTTAAACTGCATTTCTCATAAATAAGGAGAGAATGATGTCATATACGTGTGTCTTTTCATTCCCATTTCTGTGTATATTTTCTTGTTCCTTTTATATATGTCACCAAACCTTATGTCATCTCACAATATTGTATTTATGGTAACCGAGCCCAATAGTAAACCTGTATTATTGCTAGCATTAAACCCATGTTTGTTAGGTTAGTATCATTCAGCATGTCATTTCTTTTGCAGACTTCACCTCACCTTACTTCACTTCATCTCTGGATATTCTTCAGTGACTTAAAATGAGCAAATTCTTCCAAAAGTAACCTGCAAAGCATTAAATGTTATCTGTCCCTGCAAAGCTGTTAATATAACACTATAGCTCTTGAGGCAATCATATGATTAGGTTTGAAAGTTTTTTTATTACAAAAAAAAGGGTTTTTTAAAAATTTTTGTGTTTGTTTACCTAGACTAATTGGAAACTAGGTTATTACAAAAGGATGTGTTTGAGTCATATCAATGAGCTAAAGGTTTTCTTGTTTTTAGACTAGAAGAAGTAGAAGAAAAATATCTAAAGAGAGAATCAAAACCAGAAGATATACAGATGATTACAGAACTAAAAGCCATGCTTACAGAGAGAGACCAGGTCATAAAGAAACTAATTGTAAGATATTTTATTTTTGTTATAGCCCTGTTATTTATCAATAGACTATTGTTTGAGAAAACATGGGGAATATTTTTAAGTAATTCTAAATGAAAATGAAAAGTACAGAATATCTCCATTGCAATTGAACATTTGACACGTCAAGTATTAAATATGTCATTACCACTAAACACTTAATATACCAGTGAAGTATATCTATGTATGTGTATTATTCATATAGAATTAGAACTGGCTGGGAAGGAACAGTTAACACATCCATGCACAGTTTAGGAAATCATGTTAATTTCCTAAACTGTGTTCCACCACACACTGATCCAGAGATGCTATATAAAAAGGATTCCAGGTCTCTTGTGGACTCAATAACATAGAAGTGCCAAGGGCCCTGAGAAGAGTGTCTGGGAAGAAAATACAGATTTAACAATAAATAAATGTCCTTCATTAAAGCCATTTTTCCTTAAGGATGAAAAAATATACAAGTGTTTTAAAATTTATAAAACATTTCAGAGTCTTCTAAAATGATATGTCAATAATTAAAATACTGCTTTTTACTGCTACTAGTAAATGAACATTTTTCAAAGTAAAACAAGAAATAAAATCCTAATCACTGTACATGTTCATTGATTTATTCAACTAAAAACTTTAGATATTAGCATACAAAGAAAGCATTGAGAGCAGTATTTATTTCTTAAGTCTTTTTATTAAAAGTATATTTCTTGGGCTGCAGTTGTGGCTCAGTGGCAGAACACTTGCCTGCATGTGTGAGTAACTGGGTTCGATTCTCAGTACCATGTACCAATAAATAAAATAAAGGTCCATTAACAACTAAATATATGTGTGTATGTGTGTGTGTGTGTGTATGTGTGTGTGTGTGTGTGTG